TGTGGGTGTGTGTGTGTGGTGTGTGTGTGTGTGTGTGTGTGTGGTGTGTGTGTGTGTGTGTGTGTGTGTGTGTGTGTGTGTGTGTGTGTGTGTGTATACGTAGATATATAGGCAATCATCTGGCATTCACAAGTCGAACGTTTCTTTATTTCTGGTAATGTTTTCGGAGATAAGTGGATATGGCTTGCGCGATAAGCATCACGTAAGACAGTATGAACTTAAAACAATAGTTAAACGCCGAAAAAACAGCTAGTGTTATTCCCACAGTTTCTGACTCAGTAACAGGTTGCACACAAAAATGCACATTCGTGTTCGACAGTATGCACACACGTAAAAATGTGCGCGCGCGACACGCTTTTATCGCATAAAACATGACAACCATACCTGTGGGTGAATTGCACGGCCAAGTGTTGAGCTGATACATAGGTTATCGAATGGAATTTCAAAACATTAAAATCGCAGCTGATCCATCCATGATTCCCAGGACAGCACATGCCCACCTCAGGAATCTGACGGGTGGCCAGTCATAAATACGGATCACAGAATTCACCGCAAAGGCGACTCATCAGCCGGTCGGCTGAATACCCAATTAAGCTGTGCCCGGCATGCGTTCAGAGCAGGTATTCATAGGCAACGTGTCGTATTAAGTAGGCCATAATCAGAAGCAGAAACAGCGTCCGTCTTATCTACAAGGCGCTAATCTACGTAAATGTCCTCGCGCCGTCCGAACTGGCTGCCTTATGATGGTGTCCAACGTATTCCAATCAAATGTGGCTCGCATCCGTAATCTCGAAATACATATGCGAGCAGATGCAGGCAGAACTGGCTTCTCCCTCCTACGAGCTGTCACAATGTTCATGCATGCTGCTAGAGTGGGTTCCGCGCCCTATGAAAAGGAAGCGTTTCTGTGTGACGGCGTTAATCTTTCACATGAGAAGTTCGGAACCCGTCAAATTTATGTGTGGACGAACCCAGCTTCAATAAATACCGGATTTAATTCTAATTTTGCATGCTATTAGACTGACATTAATTCAGACTGACGCTTTTTTTTCATTGCTGCTTCGACCTGAAGATTGCCTGGCAAAGTTTCACAAAACTGTCACCCTCACCTTCACCCTTACCACTCGATTTGCAGTACGTGGGTTGACCAGCTGTTGCAAATCTGGTGACCTCAAATCGCCGTGATGACCTTAAGATGAGCGAGGGGTCATGGGACATGAACGTAACAGAAAAATAGGACGGGAACGATTCGGTTGTGATGCCATGCCAAACATGGCTTTCAAACCTGTACGTGTTTGGGGCTTCGCTAGAGACAATTGCCCCCCACAGATATCCACTACCAAAGGAGGACAAGCCGTTGACTGGATGACACCGTCGGCGCCAGATGGAATAGAGTTTATATATATATATATATATATATATATATATATATATATATATATATATATACAAAGCATACAACAAAAATCATAATAATGACACACGCTTTTTTCCAAGCGCCGATCAAACACATTTTATAAATGTTTACAAGAAAGGCAACGCTATGCGAACATCACATCATCACATCATGTCATTATGCAGTTTAGGCAATCATGGATAATGATCGGGTGCAGAAGACTCACGATTAGCTACCCATTTACATTTGCACATGTCCTTTCATCTGGCAAGATGCCAGGAGTGAGCTACATTCAAATACTCATTCGTTCCGCGCGTGTAATCTGCTCTGCGCAGAAACAGCTCGACCGTCAACAGTCAGCTGTTGCCCAATTTGAGCGGCCCATACGTCACTGTTTCCGGACCCATGCATAGCTGCTTCTGGACACGTGGCACTACCCAGCTGGTCATGCTGAGGACTCTACGGCAATACAAGAAACTGCCTCCGTGCGCCTTCTGGTTTTGTCGTCTGTACAGTCGTTGGTGTGCTTAGCTTAATGAGTGGCTTGACCGCGCCATGTCATATCCTCTTATCGTCTTGGTCTGGTAAATACGGCTGTTTTAAGCATCAAAAGCTGTTTCAACCAGTTACAATGACATGTTGTGCTGTGTTGAATCAGTGTCGCATCAGTCGGTGTTGCAAATATAGTCTGTCGAAAGTTGATCCGCGTTTACCGTTCACCTCTGCTTAAATATAGTAAATAAGTTTGCGGGCGGCTGTGCGAACGCGCACATGGGTCCGACAGGCGACCGTTTTATAAAAGTAAGATGGATCCCTCTTTTAAACAAATGTTCGAAGCCGAAGCGGGTCGCTTCCATATGTGGCGTGGTCGTCAGCGATTTGGGGGCGCGGACGCCTTGTTGGGCAGCGTACCGGGTGGAGTCGCGATTTGATGGAAATCACTAATACGGAGTGCATACCAGACGGAGAGACGGAAATATCGCCAGACAACAATCCATCTTCCCGGGCACATAATGAACCACCTTGAGCCGAGGTCGGCCACCCAAGGTGAAGAGTGGGTTGTGAAGTCAGACGGAAAAGGCCCAAAGTCGCGGCTAAGGGTGATTTATTGTCAGTGGCGCGACAGCGACAACATAAACATATGGCTTCGCCTTGTCGCTTTCAAGACATCTGTTCAGAGATTGTTGTCGAACGAATACACCAATGGATCGGAATAATCAGCTTGTACGCAAGTATCGTCAGGATCGCAGTCACAGTAGCTAGATATTTTTCCACCGATGCAACAGCCTCTAAGGAACAGAGTCACTGATGAATAACTAGTTACTTTGTGCTTCGTTTTGAAAGTACATTTGACAAACGTGTTGATCGGCTTTCAAAATCTGCTGCTGCCTCTCCGACACCGACACCGCGCCGGCTTATCTTGACCGCGAGCACCAGCGACGCGACCGCAGTGTCGTGACGTCAGAAGCGTCAGGTGGCGCAGGTGCAGTGCCCGGGGGCACGCCGCTGTGTGGCCAACCCGATCACGGCCGGCTTGGCAGGGACCACGCCGCTCAGGCGCTACACTCCACAGGACGCTGCATGTTGGCGACGCCGGCCGCTGGGGGACAGCCGCCCGGGAACCAGGCCGCGGCTCGCGCCGGACGAGCCGTGCCGGGCGGACGGAAGCCGTACAGGCGCGCGCGAGGCTCAGCCACGGTCGGCCGCCCAGGCGGTACGGTGCTTGACAAATTAGCGAAGGCGCCAGTGTGGGATCTGCAGACTGCGCCTGCGTGCCGGTGGAGAGATCCCATCTATCCACGCTCCCGGGCCTTGAGGTGACAACAGCGGACGTGGTCCGGTCCGCACTTTTTCCTTCACCCGGCCCACTCACGATGGCAGTGTAAGCGACATCACACAAAGTTTGACGTCACAATGACGACTGCTGCAGTAAAATGAATGGGCTTTGGGCTGGTAAGGACCGTTATGGGATGAGCAGATGAATGATACAATACCCCTGTAAACTGATATGGTTGCAGTAAGGTGCGCCATGCGCAAATAGCAATAGCAATTGAATTTGGCAATTGGCAGAAATGGCAATTTGCAATTGCAGGGTCAAATGATTTCGTGATATTGGTTGAGGCTTATCGAAAGCATATCCGTTTCTATCGATTATTCTATTCCACATTCTACTACCCTCTTCTATTCTAAATTATATTATCCTATTCTATTCCTTACTCTGTCATCCTATTCTATACTGTATCTTGCCATGCTATTCTATTGTATATTCTATCTTTTTCTGTTATATATTCTACTATCTATCAAGTTTTGTCTTGTACTATCTTATACTGTTCTATATTTCAATTCTATCGACAGAGAGCAAAACCAGAAAGAATCAAAAATGTTTTCTGAATGACTCTGGAAACGCTGGCGCTGATCAGCCTCTTTGATTCCGTGGAGGCGGAACAAGCCTTTGATGGCAAAATTCTGCGCAGCCTTCTGACCTGAAGAAATTTTATTCGAGGTTATCTGTTGTGGGTAAAATGATCGCTATGTTTCGTCCCACTGGTCTTGGTTCGTCGGCCGCGGTTTATGCTCCCGTTTTCCCTGGGGTTTCACGGGGTCTGAAATGCGGAAACAATGCGCTATAGCCCAATGTTGCCGTTTCAATACGCTTTTTAAGCTGTTCGAAAGCGGCAGGAAGGCTAACATGTATAGGCTTATCCTGGGGGCTGGCTTGCTTCCAAGAACGCAGTAAAGCATGCAATATTGATCACTCCAATAGAAAATTACCCTGTCCATATTTCAGATGCAGGTCGTTCGCGTCCAGAAGTTTCCGCCGTGGACGTTATGAAGGTCGATGGGCTGCACCACAGAGCGGTGAATTAACGGACGTTTGATATTCAGTCCTCTTCCAGGTACATCTCGACATTATCATAAATTAATTTGGCTGATATGTGGGCTTCCGATGGCTTACGCTGATTTAATGGGACACACCCATCCAGGCATTAAATGCGTCTGACCCAAAACGTATTCAAGTCCAGCATGTCCCTGGATTCACAAATTTTCATGGCCATGAAATTTTTAGGCTGCCGGCTTGGACCGACATACCAGTCTTTAGCCCCCCTCCCCCCCCCCCCCCATTCAATAACCGTTTCTTATCACAGCCGCTTTCATTTCATCCGTAGATCCATTTTTAAAAAAATAATCTGGCGTTATATCGTTTCTCTAAATCTGTCAGGTCAGTCTTTTCTAAAATATATTTGAAGTAAATAAGCTGCGAAAGAGTTCCTGACACTGTACTGAGCCTTACTATACTGGGCCTTCCCATGAGCTGATTTCCATGTCGTCCCGCCCGAGCAATGGGTTCAGTTTTTCCCGCAACTTTGATCCGGATCATTAGGCTCGCTGTGTTGTAATGAACAAGTTACTCAGTGAACTGGTTTCGCCGTCCGATAGCTGACGCCGATTGACGAAATATAACGGTTCCGAACGGTGGGAAAGCGAAGCAAGCCCAACCAACAAAGGCTATTCGTTATCATCAACGAATGCCCCTTGGCAACGACTCAAAATTAACGAACCATGCGGACCAATGAGGGGTTTGGCGGACGATAAATGTGCCGGCGTCATCGCCAGACGGGAGCGCAGACCGCCATCGTCGGCAGACGAGGGGCTGAGGCCGCCGTCGTCGGCAGACGAGGAGCTGAGGCCGCCGTCGTCAGCAGACGAGGAGCTGAGGCCGCCGTCGTCAGCAGACGGGGAGCGCAGACCGCCATCGTCCGCAGATGAGAAGCTGAGGCCGCCGTCGTCAGCACACGGGGAGCGCAGACCACCATCGTCAGCAGACGAGGAGCTGAGGCCGCCGTCGTCAGCAGACGAGGAGCTGAGGCCGCCGTCGTCAGCAGACGAGGAGCTGATGCCGCCGTCGTCAGCAGACGAGGAGCTGAGGCCGCCGTCATCAGCAGATGGGGAGCGCAGACCGCCATCGTCCGCAGACGAGGAGCTGAGGGCGCCGTCGTCAGCAGATGAGGAGCTGAGGCCGCCGTCGTCACCAGAGGACGAATGCGGGCCGTCATCGCAACTAGACGAGGATTGCAGCAGACCAAAATCGCAAACAGACGTGGAATGTAGACAGCCATCGCGATCAGACGAGAAATGCAGACTACCAGCGCAATCAGACGAGGGAAGCAAACCTCCGTTGGCACCAGACAAGAAATACAGACCGCCATCGTCATCGAGGAATGCAGCCGGCACCAGACGAGGAATGCAGACCGCTGTTGCCATGAGACGAGGAATGCAGACCGCTGTTGCCATGAGACGAGGAATGCAGACCGCCGTCGGCACCAGACGTGGATGCAGACCGCCGTCAGCACCAGACGTGGACGCAGGCCGCCGTGGGCACCAGACGTGGATGCAGACCGCCGAGGCCCGCGCCAGTGAACATTCCGTGCAGGCGAGGAATGCAGGCCGGCAGCGTCCCAGTGTGAGAGATGCCGACGTTCGCCGAGTGTCCGGGGCCGGCAACTGCAGACTCCGGGACCGGCAACCGCAGACGGCGAGGCTGGGACTTGTGGCCGCCGGGGCAGGCCAGTGGCGCCAGGGCAGACCAGTAACCGCCAGGGCAGACTAGTGGCCGCCGGGGCAGACTAATCAGTGGCCGCTGGAGCAGGCCAGTGAGCGCCGGAGCAGACCAACGACCGCCGGGGCAGATCAATCAAGGACCGCTGGGGAAGACCAGTGGCCACCGGGGCAGGCCAGTAACCGCCAGGGCAGACCAGCAACCGCCAGGGCAGACTAGTGGCCGCCGGGGCAGACCAACGGCCGCCGGGCAGGCCATTGACCGCCAGCCGGAGCTGGGATGCCGCCGAGCCTCACGGCCCAGTCCGAGCAGGTGGTGGTCCATCAGCCACTCGCACGGGAGGTGAAGGGTGTCCAGAGGCACTGCCTGCGGCCGCTGTTGGGTTACGGCGGGATCAAGCGGCCGTAAAGCGCGAGTTATTCTAATCAAGATTATTAGTCGGGCCACGCCGGGGAGTCAGGTGCAGAGCGCGGGCAGGCCGCATTTTTTTTTATAACGGCCTCATGGACCCATCTCGAGCCACAAGCAGGACAGGCCGGCACCGAGTGGGTTCCCTGTTAAATCTTGGGTTGTTGGAGATCTGTACGGGAATGGCAAATTAACTTATAGCTTTTCATTCTCGTGGCTACATGGAAACGTGCCCACTGCATGACTCTGGCCCCGTTCGTGGCCGACGCTGTGGGCTTGGCACTCCGCAACCACACGCATCTTTGAGCCTCATGAGAACACGTCACGGGACGATCATGTACTTGATGAAGAGCATTTGGCATTTAGAGCATTTAGCCAATGAACATCGAGGCTGGTGCCATGAATATACATATCTGCTTTGATGACGTCATGAATACATGGCAATGGTGGCCTATGTTCAAGCTACGGCAACAACCTTTCTGTAAATCACCGCTGGCGAGTTGTTTTTCTATCTCAGAGAACACAGCAAAGTGCCCGCAGGGCAGCCAGCACAGCTGCCACCGCACCAGCGCACCAGACGCCGCCGCTCTGGCTGCCAGCACAGCTGCCACCGCACCAGCGTACCAGACGCCGCCGCTCTGGCTGCCAGTACAGCTGCCACCGCACCAGCGTACCGGACGCCGCCGCTCCGGCTGCCAGTACAGCTGCCACCGCACCAGCGTACCAGACGCCGCCGCTCCGGCTGCCAGTACAGCTGCCACCGCACCAGCGTACCGGACGCCGCCGCTCCGGCTGCCAGCACAGCTGCCACCGCACCAGCGTGCTGGACGCCGCCGCTTCGGCAGCCAGCACAGATACACCGCCACCAGGCGTGCTGGGACCGCCGCCCGCGTCCGGTCAGCCAGCACAGCTGGCCACCGCAACCAGCGTGCTGGACGCCGCCGCTCCGGACAGACCAGCACAGCTGCCACCGCACCCAGCGTACCGGGACGCCGCCGTCCCGGCTGCCGCCCGGACCGCCGCCCGCCCCGGCTGCCGGCACAGCTGCCACCGCCACCAGTCGTACCGAAACGCCGCCCCGCTTGCCAGCAGCCCGCACAGTGCCACCGCACCAGCGTACCGGACGCCGCCGCTCGGCAGCCAGCCCAGCTGCCGCCCGGGCGCCAGCGCCGCCCGGCTGTCGGCGCGCCGCTGCCGGGGCAGGCGTCGTGTCCTCGATGTCAGGTCAGGCGCCGGCGCGCCGGCTGTCGTTGTCGCTGCCGGGGCAGGCGTCCCGCCCTCGAGGTCAGGTCAGGCGCCGGCGCGGTTACGACACGCCGCCACCGGAGCCGGCCGGCCCGGCGGACCGCCGCCGCCGCGCTGGATCCAGTTTCGCCGCGAGTCCGTACCCGCAGGGCCATACGTTAAGCGCCGCGACGCTAGATCTTGGTAGCTGTCATGTCTTCGCGCATAAGGAAGCCCATGAATCTTGGTTGCCAGCGCTTGAGTTTTGGAGATAAATAACCAAAACGTGAGTAGTCAGGTCTCGATGTCTGGTCAGCGCGATGTCGTTCGAGTCAGCGGACTGGCTCAACATGCTTCCACTGGAGGCTGAAGGGCGGAGTGTGAAAGCGTCCTGTTGGAGGCCAATAAGCAGTCCATAGCTGGATATCGGCAGATGTTGCCTGTCTATCAACGATGCATATATCAAAAGACTGCGAGGTACTGAAGTCAGCAGCATAGATGACAGTGCCTCAATCGAATCGATCATTTGCATATATGGAGCTGCGCTGTGACGGATGGTTTAGGACGATCTGATGTTGATGTGTAGGGAACAAATTTGGACACAGACATGTGGAAGATCTGTGCAAGATAGCTGGCACACCCTTGCCTGCGTGTGAGGTCTGGCAGCCAGGCCTCTCCGCTCTGAGCAGTCGGGGCCTCTCCTCCGTGCGGCTGATCACAAACAATGTGCATTTTTTCAGATTTCTGATTCCAACTTTGTGCATATCTCTCCGCAATCGATTCGGGCCGTCGATCAGCTCTTGGAGACGTTTCACGCTGATGTGCTGGTTATGGTTAATGCCGTTAATATTTATTCGTTGAAAGGTTATGGGCTCTCTTTCCTTTAAGGTAGGCGTTGATGTAATACAATGTTACTGTTGTGGTGGGTAACTGCGTTGAAACATTTCAAATTTATGTACGTTTAAGACAGAAGACGTAACCCATTATCATTAAGTGTGATGTCAAAAGCGATAAGATCCCTATTGTCAAGACGTAACAACGCTCAGTCAGATGAATAGGTTTGTTAAAAAGTGTGCTAAAATATATTTCCTGCAACGAATACGAACTAGTGATAAAAGCAGTTTTTTAACACCCGGAAATGCCGAACAATTGCAATACTGTCACTTGACAACTTTTCCTCAGCTTCATCGCCTACGCATCCCATAACTGTCAGTACCAACACATGAGACTCACGTTCCTTGCGAACCATGGAGATCAAAGAACTTTGCATAAGTAACTATCGCAGCGTTGCGGGCCGACGATTGGTGAAGGAGATCATTACCTCAGCGGTGCGCCACAGGGAGAGCCAGGCTGTGGAGCGCTTCACGGATGGCGCGATCCGCGGGGGTGGATGGACCCGATTGGACTGATCCACGGGTGGTGTGGGGATCCGACTGGACCGGTCCACGGATTGTGGATGGATCCGATTGGACTGATCCATGGCTGGTGGATGGATCCGATTGGACTGATCCACGGGTGGTGGATGGATCCGATTGGACTGACCCGCGGGTGGTGGATGAATCCGATTATACCGATCCGCGGATAGTGGATTGATCCGGTTGGACCGACCTACGGGTGGTGGATGGATCCGATTGAACCGATCCGCGGATGGTGAATGGATTCGATTAGACCGATCCAAGGGTGCTGAGTGGATCCGGTTGGATCGATTCTCGGGGGTGGACGGATCGGATTAGCGGGCTGGCCCCGACCAACAAAATGTGGGTAACACACGGATTAGGACCGGACGGGATTTCAGACTTTGTCAGGCCACATGGATTAAGCGGATTGAAAAGCCATTAAACCCCCAAAAAATGCTGACTGGATTTTCTACTCCCACTGATGTAACTACCACGAACCCTCTGGTAGGATTCTGAATCCTAACAATGCTTTTGTTTCAATAATGGGTTAATTTGTTTTAGATTATTGATGAAAATGTCAATCAGTGGAGTGTCCAGTAAAAGGGGGCCACTAGCTTATGATGACAGCAGTTTGATTGGCAATTATCAAGTTATCACCTACGTACCATTTACATAGATGACTTGAAAACTGCCACCAACTGCCCAGCCAGCACCGCCGTCAACTGTTCATCTAGAGCCGTCGCCGCCGCCAGCTGTTGGGCTGGAATCGCCGCCACTAGCTCCTCAACCAGCACCACCCCCACCAGCCGCTCGATCAGAGCCGTCACCGCCAGCTCCCCAAACAGTCTTCGCCGACACCAGCTCCTGAAGCTGGGCCGCCGAAGCCGCCGTCGTCAGCACCTCAACCAAAGCCACCACCACTTTCAGCTCCACAAACAGAGCCGCCACCGTCAGCAGCTAGATCAGACCAGCCGCCAACAGCCTCTCAACCAGAGCCGCCATCGCCAGCTCCTCAGCTGCTGAGCTAGCACGTGGGTCAGACAGGTGCGATGATGATGTAGCTTTGTGGCTCAACTCCTGCCCAAACGAGAAGTGGATTCGGCTTACGTTGCCGGGCTGTGATAGCATCCTTGCAACATCACGTGGTTGGTGCCACCGCTGCCAAATTACGCGGCCTTCATCACACCGCCGCCACGGTATTGAAATGATACACATAGTTCCTGGGCCATCACTTAATCGGTATGCCTACTATCACCAGTAAACTGAACAATGTTAACATGGCCGTTTTGGCCGAACAATACGAACGTGGGCGGATTCGTCCCGATGCTCAGTTGGTTAGAGCGCCTGCCTTCCGATTCACCCAACCGTGGTGGGTTGGGTTCGAGTCACTTTAGGACGCTCGCTATTTGCCCTTGACAGGTATGGCTTGCGACCGGTGGCAGCGCCCGCGCTTAAGATGAGATGACGTCAGAGGGCAAGATGGACCGAGCCGAGCATTGCAGCATGTTACACTCTCGACATTAAGTTCTGCCGTTGCCCAAAATTGCGCGATTGGATGGTAGGGGTCAGGGCTCATACAAAAAGCATTGCTTAACGTGACCTCTGATGCCAGAAATCCATCCATTCAAAGGGTTCGGATCAAGTCTCTAAAAATAGCTCTGTTGCATATCTTCAGTGATTTTATATTCTTTACCGGTTACGTACTTCTGTGAACCATTCCAAAATACCACGGGTTTTTTCGTTTCATCGTCTCGAGCATCAAACAACGCGGTGAGACTTTGAGGAACTTTGTCTCTCCCCTGGATCTTCTCCTGTTCATTTTCTTTAAGCGCCCCCTGAAATCCGAATTTGGTTTTGGTTTTCTCATCCACACTGGCCGTGAAAGAAGACAGAAGTACTTGTGATGCCTTTTTGGCGCAAATCTCAGCGGCATGCACAGGCCTTTGTCAGCCTTTGTAAACCAATTTCTCTTATCGATTCGGCGGACGGTAAGCCACAACACAGTCGGAGGGATTTTCATCATCGTTCCAGCTGTTTCCCTTAGATGATACTTTGGTAGCTGAGCAGCTGGCGGTGTCGGCGTGTCTGGTTGATGCACTTCGGCGGCTCTGGTCGAGCTGCTGGCAGTGGCAGCCCTGACTGACGAACTGACAGTGGCGACGGCTCTGGTCAATGACACTGTGGCGGCAGCGGCTCTGTTTAAGGAGCTGGTGGCGGCGCTCTATTTGAGGAGCTGGCGGCGGCTGCTCTGTTTAGGGAGCTGGAGGCGGCCTTGGCTGAGAAGCTGCGGCGGCGGCTAAAGTCGAGCAGCTGGCAGCGGCGGTGCTGGTCGAGGTTGTGCGCGGTCGCGCTGTTAAGGATGTCTCCGCATCTCTTTTCTGATGCTTCATAATTTTGTGATTATGACTGTGACTGACACACACATATACCTGCACACAATACACCCCCAAACACACGCCCCTCATTTACATTTACTGCGAATGTCCAGCAGGGGCTTTGTACACCCCCACAACGGCTGTTTCAAATCAAGGATAATTGAAACACTCGCGGATAAATGTATCTTTGAATGGCAAGTGGGTGGTGCAGTCTATGAATTAACATAGAATGTGAATAGCACGTATAAATAATATGTTTTACGAGCGAGGCCGCGGTTCGAGCACTCATTGTAATCTACTGTATCTTGCCGGTAATTGCGTAGCTTCGATGGAGCAGACCTGATTGGCCAGCAACGCTT